GCCTGGATGCACGAGGAGCTCTAGAGTCTGGAGGAACAGCCGTGGACAGAACTGAGCAACACTAAGGGGATCGTGGACAATCGGTTGGCCTGCCTCCGAACAAGCGGGTCTGGAAACACGGAAGAGAGAGTGCAGCAACAAGGACAGAGGGTCCATCGCCACGATCGGAGGGCGAGCGGTTTGATGAGGGAGTGGGAACAGGAGTAAAGGGGCCCTGGGACACACAAATAAACAGACACAAATCCCAGGATTCCCTACCTTTTCCCATACTTCCTGGGTTTTCCTCCTCCCCCCTTCCCCCATCTTTTCCCACGTTTTCCTGGGGATCGACGATGAATGGTGTCTGTGTGTTTTTTTTCCCCCTCCTGAAGGAGGAGGGGCCACTGGGGAGGAAGCAGGGCGGGAGGCGGGGAGGAGGCGGGGCGGCGGAGAAGAACGGCGACGACGACGACGACACCGCGTGCGGCGGCTGCGGCAACGGGGCGCGATCGCGAGGGGGCGGCGTCCGAGCTGGCGTCGTCCTCCTCATCCGCCGGGGCTGCCTCCGAGGGCAGCGGGGGACTGGCCATCGCTCAGACGTCCATTCCCTGTGCTTTTTTCGGTTTCGTGCGTGGCTTTTTCGCCAAATGATCAAGGATGCTCCTCGATGGTCCTCGCCGAAGGAAGCCTGCACACGTCCGAGCGATGCCAAGGTACCAAAAGGATGCGTGGTAAGGAAGCAAGGGCCTTGGAGGCCCACACTAACGTTCTTCGGACGCGGCTGAGGAGCCGAACGTCGCTAAGTAGGGGCCGAACGTCGCTGAGGATGCAAGGGTACCCTTGGGAAGGCTGCCCATCCCTACTGTGCGGGTTGACTGTATAGGGAGGCCAGGATGGCGAGGGAGGAGCGAGGGAAGGAGAGGTGGGCGAGGGGGGAGGGGGGGGAGCGAAGGGGGAGGGAGAGGAGGGGCGAAGGATCCGATGATCCGGGGGGGGGGGAGAGGGGGAAGGGGGACGAGGGCGGAGGACAGGATTGCCTCATCGAGCCCTCGCGGCAGCAAGGGGCGGGAAGGAGACAGGAAAATTGTACAATGCCGTTGGGGTTACTGTGCTGTTGTTGAGCAGTCGGAGTCGGTGTGCCAGTGGGTAATGTTTACTGTTTAGCTCCCGTTTGTTAAAAGTGAAAAAATCCCATGCAAATCTCGTGCTCGTGGAAACTGATCAATTGGTCGAAGTACTTGAATCTGCGAGCTCGCCCTTCTGGTCCGTCTCGTCTGGATGCTCAGTATGGTGGTATTGCTCTTGTTGTTTGGTGTTTTGGGACAGGTGAGGAAGACGAGGGAGATACTAACACAAGCAAGAACGGGTTGAGGAACAGGAAGGCGAACAGCAGGAGAAGCACACATGCTCGCACAAGTGTCGCTGGTATGCACCGCGGATGGCGAAGTGAATAGTTAAGCAACTACCAGGCTGAGGGTGGAAGTCTGTGTTCGGAGTATGTGTGTTCGCGACACAATCGGTGCTGGCGGATGAACAATGTTGCGCAACATAATTGTCCCGCCTGTTCCTGTACTGTACGCTGCGACAGATCATGGCCACGGAGAAGGGGGGGGGGGGCAAGCCGATGGAGCCCCGAATGCCGATCAACGCAGATTTCCGACTGTCTCGCTTGCTGCGTAGAAGGCGCTTTTAAACAACGTTGTGCCGACAAACGGGGCTGGACGAATTCCTGAAACGCACGCGGTATTCCCAACCTACGCTTCCTGGGAGCCCTCGGCCGCGGGGGTAGAGGGGTGGCCTCTGCGCCACGGCGGCCTCCATCCCGCCAGATCAGTGCAGGGACTGAGGCTGATCTTCATCTTCAGCTTCCTCATTGGCCAGGCTTCCTCCGGGATTGGCCACCGTCGTCGGCAATCCTTTTACCGGGAGCGGCAAAGAGGGGGGTGTCCAAAAGGGGGGGGGGTGCAAATCATGACCGGCGGCATGTGCGCAGCACAGCGGGGGGGGGCCAGGGACGTAATGAAATGAAATAAGAAGAGGCGCCATGAAATCTGGGGAAATATCATGGCCCCCGCCATGATATCCACCCCCTCCTAGTCATCACCCCCCTCTTTTCCGCCCCCGATTTTACATGGCCAGCCAGTGGGGCTCTAGAAACATGCCGGCCAAAACCCAACTGCCACCGCGCTGAAGGCCCCGACGTGCCACGGCCGGCATGCGCCCGGGGCGCGCGGGCCCTCGAGCGGGGACCTCCCAGGACGTCATCGTGCGACCAGCGGGAGCGCCGAGTGTAAACAACGAAGGGGCTCTTCAGTCCACGACGAGCCTCGGCAGCGAGTACACGTCGGTCAGAAGAACTAAATACAACAAATAAACATGAAGCAGGAAGGCGGATCAAGTGGACCGGGTCCAGGCCCTCCCAGAGAACAAGGAAACACAGCAAGTGCATACCGGCTCTCGAAGTAGGAATGCCCTTGAAGTAGATTGTGAGATCTGGGCACCCAGAAATACCTACTTTCAACGACCGGCGTGCAGGCTTCCCGACCTCGAGTCTGAGGCTGGAGCCCTCCCGATCCCAAAGAAGTGGTTCTTCTGCCATCGCCCAGGCCCTGCGGCCAAAAACCAGGGTTAGGTCGGGCGTGTCCTCCTACCGGCGGACTTTGCAGGAACCACAACCAATGCTCGAACCTAGTCAAACATTGTTTTTCTAATAAAAAAAACGTCCCCTGACCATTTGTTTTACAATTTTTGAATTTTCCCCGTGTAGAGGGACAGGCTCGACTTAAGACTAGGGAGGCGTCGCACTCGCCACGGGGCCGAGAGGAGAGCGCGGCGGGGGGGGGCTCGGGGGGGGGGCGGGCGCTGCCGGCGGCAGGCTCTTTGCCTCCTGCTTCAGGTCCTGGGTGCGGGCGCGGGGGAGGCGGGGAGCGGAGGGCGCCGATCGGGATGGAGGAGGCGGAGGAGGGGAATTAGGATGATGATGATGATGATGATGATGATGATGATGATGATGATGATGATGATGATGATGATGATGATGATGATGATGATGATGATGATGCTGATGCTGCTGATGCTGATGCTGATGCTGATGCTGATGCTGATGCTGATGATGACGATGATCAGGAGGAGGAGAAGGAGGAGGAGAAGGAAGAGGATGAGGATGAGGAGAAGGAGGTGGAGGAGGAGGGGGATGAGGATGAGGATGAGGAGGAGGAGGTGGAGGAGGAGGAGGAGGAGGGGGAGGGGGAGGAAGTGGGGGTGCTGTGGGGACAGCAGCAAACTACGGGCACCGCCTCTCCCCAGACCTCTCCGGGGGCGCCTCCTGACCAGCATGTCATGCTGAGGCGAGTCCCGCCGTGGCGGCGAGGGCCTCCCAGTGGAGGCTCCACAAGGCGAAGGGAGTGAAGAGTAGCGGCATTGGCACCTTTATCTCCGATGACGACAAGGACGATACGCGGCAAAATGGGGGGGGGGTGGGGGGGGGGCGAATTCGCTGCCCGCGACTGATTCTCCTAGCGCATGCAAGCGCCAGTGCGGCCAGGAAGCCTCTGAACCCCAATCCCGCAAAATTCTGTCCAGACTATCTGGGCCCTGGTGTCGGAAACTCCGCGATCCGTTGGACATTGAAGGTCCCAAGCGGCTGAGGCCCCCTGGCAAGTTCCAAACGACCTGAATACAAAATCGTGTTGGCTTGGAGGCGCAGCTTCTGCTTCGCCGGCCTCCCCTATCACCAACATCGCCGTCACCATCATCATCACCACCATCACCAACCGCCAATACCATCACCAAAACACCATCACACCATCACACCATTACACCATTACACCATCACACCATCACCATCCACATCAATATAAACATCAACATCACCACCATCACAAGGGCATAAACATTCAACTAGAAAAACCAAACGCATACACATACACGTTCGGAACTCCGACACTTCATGATGATGCAACTATTATGCTTCGAATCATCCGTTACCTTGCCCCGAGGCACGAAGTGGAGAGTCCACAGGTCTCTTGAGCGCTCCTTGCTCAATCTTGATAACTCCACGAGGCCTAACGCGTTGACTCTCCTCTCGGTGTTTGAACGATTTTATCGTTCTCGCCTTCTCGGGATCCCGACGCTCCAAGACGGCCCCAGAGGCCCCAAAGATCGGCCCCAAGAGGCTCCCAAGCGTCCCCACGACGGCCCAAGAGTTCACCTGAACGGCCCAAGAGGCTCCAGAGACAGAGTGGGGCCGCGAGCCGACATTTCGAGCCCTCCGCCCCAGGGTGACCCACGAGACCGCCGGCAGGCCTCAAAGGGGCCCCACGAAATCAGGCCGCAAATCAGGCCGCAGGAGGCCCAAATCAGGCCGCAGGGGGCCGCTGCTGCGAGGCCCACCACGAGATCCCATCAGGCATCCAGGGGCCCCGATGTGCAACCCAGGCGCGGTTGCGGCATGGGCCGAAGGCCTTCAGCTGTAAGCCACGACGCGACGGCCCACCGCTCTGGTCTGACCCCACGGATGCAGAGACAGAACGACACACCGTGCTGCGCTGACTGCGTGCGCACGCTGCGAAGCGTGGCGCTTACGTGGGCGGATGGCGATGGAGAACACCACTATCTGGGATATTATGAAGGGGCCCCAGGACACACAATAAATACACGCAAATAAAAAGATCCCCCATATTTTCCATTTTTTTCTGGGATTCTGTCTTCCCCCCCAGTTCCCATATTTTCCCATATTTTCTGGGAATCGCCGATTGATTGTGTCTGTGTGTTTTTTCCCCTCCTGATATTAGAAGAGACGATTCCAGGAGGCAGAAACTGTTTCCGATGCGGCTGCGCGAGATCACGGAGGGCTCCGAGACTTCTGGGCTGTCACGCGGGGTCAGGAAGACGAGGGTCCAGCGCCGAGTCAAGAAATCCGCGCGGACCTCCGATCTTCGTGTGGCTTCTACGTATTGTAACCCATGGCTCGCGACACTTGGAGGCAGGTCTACACTAACTCATTGCACGGCCTTCGAGGTTCAAGCAACAACACATTCAGCGCCGCCTGGGATTCTGCCCTTTGGCGGCGGCTCGGGAATCTTCTCGCTAGCACAATTAACGGCACGCCTCTCGACCCACCACCACTCGGCCATGTATGGGTTGCCGCAGCCGTCCAAGTGGTCACCGTGATAATTGCTGATTGCCGCAACGAACAAGCCCTTCTGGTACGTCTTCGCGAAGCAATGCTCCTCTTTGTCCACCACTTTCGTGAACTCTCTCTTACCAGGATACCCCTGCGAAAACATCTTGCTTACGGGCAAGCGCTTGAACAATCCTGGAGCGTCTTCAGGTTGAAGAAACTTCGGCTGCGGTGCGCTGACTTGTCGGAGGTCCCGAATGCGGCTCTTGAACGCTGTTCTGGCATGGGCGTTCGCATCCAGTGGCCAATGAAACACAACACCAGAGCATTCGTCGCCCCATCCCGTCGTGGACGGTTCATAGTGTGAGACCCAGACGTGACATTTCAAGAACATGAATATGTGATCCTGCAGCAAGAAATCTAATGGCAAACCACATCGACTCGTGCCGAGCAGCTTCGCTAAACGCGTCTTACATGAGCCAGCACTAGCATCACCATGAATGGGCACTCGCTGCACCTCAAACTTCGTAAGACCTTCCCACAGGGCGCTGGAGCGCAGAAGCGCTCGTGGAATCGTGATGGAAGACGTCGTGCCCTGCACACCTGGCTGCAAAATACCTTCACTCTCGGAATCCGCCGGCCCCCGTTTGCCGTGAGTGAGAATCCCACCAGTCGGGGGGAACAAAAGGGGGTAGCAAAGGGCAGGGTAGAACATCAGCTCACGTAGCTGATTTTCCCAGCGCCTCCCATGGCCGGGAGGCGCCCATGTATCGAGGAGTGGGCCTGGCGGCGGGGCCGAAACCAGCTGCATGCAGCATATTTCGTAACTCCTCCTTTCCCTGTCCCCCCCTTTTCGTTCGGCTCGAGCCAGCTCTCTGGGCCGAGGTGGTCCGGCGAGTGTCCTCTCGGAACCCCACCTCTTGTGCAGAGCCCGCGGACGGCCTCGTGCTGGCCATTTCCCGCCCGGTCGCTGCCGACGGGCGTCCGAGGCCTCCGGGTGGCTGCCAGATGGCCCAAGAGAAAGCACGAGAGGAGAGGTTCAGGGAGGCTCGATCCAGCCCCAGCAGCGCCCCAAGACGTGGCTTCTCGAGCCAAAGAGGGAGGGCACTGATCCTCGCCGTGCCCTTGCTTCGGATCGCTGTCCTCCAAGATGGCCCTAGGAGCCCCCCCCCCGAAACCCTAGGTGACCCCAAGAAAACCCAAAGAGGGCCCCAACAGAGCCCCGAAGGCATCCAGCACGGCCCCGCGAGGGCCCAAAGAAGGCCCATGCAGACTGCCAAGGCGTTTCAAGATCGAAAGACCCGAGGAGGAACTTCTGATTGACTACTGGGCTTATGTTGTTCCCATCCAACTTAAAGACCACATCCCATACATAATTTCGAGCACCTGGAAAAGTGCCAAAAGAGTATCGAAATAGTGTCAAAACAGTGTCGGGCGAGTGTCTCCAATTTGGGGGGTTCGAAATTCTTTCTGGTAGTCAAGGCTAAAGTAGGCTGGACCATCATAATCCTGGGCCTGCCCAGGATGATCACGAGCTTCGGTTTGACGGCCGGCCCCCTCTGTTCCACTGCCTGCTCCACACGTCCCCGACTCAAGTGCTTCGGCTCTGCATCACTGGTTGATGGGCTGGCGGGGATACGTCTTTGGTCAACAGGCTCGCGAGGCGGGTCAGAAGCCGTCCGAACACTAGTCGGGCCGCGACTCGGCTGCAGGAAGAGAAAGGCAAGCGAAGCGAGCGAGCGGGCAGCCAAGCACAAGGAGAACCAGAACCGAAACTCCCAAACCCGGTGGCGTTGGAAATCCTGGTGGCGACCAGCAAGTAAGCGCAGCCACAATGGGGCGGCGGCGCGCAGGCGGGGATACTTTTTGTCGGCAGCCGCAGGCGAGAGGGCGAGAGCGCACAGCGGCGAGTCAGGGTCCAGGCGGGGCGCGCGAGGGCCTAATTAACCAGGAGCAAGCCTAACACTGCCACTCTGGCGGGATACTTTTTAGTCAGCGGCCGCAAGCGAAAGCGCCAACGGCGAGTCGAGTCAGACTGGCGGGGATACGCGAAGCGTCAAGAACAGGATGAGAAACGACTGCGTAAACATACACTCTCGGAGGTTCGTGTAGAGTCCCTGGTTCGGCAGTGGACCCCCTCTATGTCGCGCAAACCGCGCCAGAGGTGGCGCCAGAGGCGCCGCCAAGGGGGTCCAGTGCCGACCCAAGAATTCTGCGCGGAGCTCCAAACGTATAACCCGAGGAAGCATTTAAGAACCCCCCCGGCGATATCTTAGCACCGCATTCTTATTCAATATTCCGAGGGGCCGAAATAACCGAATGATAGGTTTACCACCCGGACACAAAACAAATTCGCGGAGGCCTGGCCCCTGGGCCACAATCGAAATTCGAAATTCAAATCTGCGTGGCTCTCATGAAAGACTCAGGATGTCGCTTGCTGCTTAGAAAACTCATGCAATGATAATAGTATTAATATTCGCAAGCATTTTTGATGACTCCTAACGACTTGAATGGATCCATCAGGTTTCATACAAGTTCCGCAGGATTCTCAAGGATTCCTACGGATTCACATATATTCGTCAGGATTCATCAAAGATTCAAAAGATGTCCCGGGATTCCTGAATATTTCCAAGGAGTCCAAAGGATTCCTCAGGAATCTGCAGAATTCCAGAAAGATTCGCAATAATTCCGTAAGAATCCGGAAGGTTTTCCTTTACTGCATCTAAAAGAGCACTAAGAAACCTAAGAAAGTGAGAAACATGAAAAACCTCCTCCTGCTCTCTCTTCTGATCTGCTGGTCTCTTGGAATAGATTTCTCATTCAAAACCCTTCTAGAAATTGATTTTCATCGGCCGTCCTAGGGGGAGGTCCACGAGAGGGTATCCCGCCCCCCACCGCACCGTGGCGTTATCTTAGCACCCGGCCACGCGAAAAAACACTCTAGTTATATTCCTGCGGGTGTCCTAGGGATTCCTAAGGATTTATCTGGGATTCTTAAGGATTCCCTTACGATTCCTGCGCCTTCCAGAAGCTTTCTGTGGATTCCTCAGAATTCTAGAAGACTCCTTTAAATTCCTAAGGGCTCGTCACAAATTCCAGGGGATTCCTCATGAATGTTAGGATTCCTAAGGATTCCTACAGGGTCCTCAGGATTCCTGAGGATTCCTAGAGATTCCTAAACATTCGTTCTCCTCCTTCTCTCCTCTTCCTCCTCCTCCTCCTCCATCTCCTCCTCTCCTTCCAGTGCTTCAGACTTGTGAGCGACGCTTCCATCTCATAAAGAATCCAATCTGACCTGGGCAAGACACAGGACAATCTGCCGACGATCCGTTCTGAATCAACTGGAAAGGCTGAGAAACCTGGGAAAGCTGAGAAACCTGGGGAAGCTGAGAAACCTGGGAAAGCTGAGAAAACTGAGACAACTGAGAAGCTTTCCCTGCTCCTGCTTCTCCTCCTTTTCCTGTTCATGTTCCTTGTCTTGTTCCTCCTCTCCTCTCCTCCTCCTCCTCCTCCTCCTTCTCCTCTCCTCCTCCTCCTCCTCCTCCTCCCTCCTCCTCCTCCTCCTCCTCCTTCTCCTCCTCCTCCTCCTCCTCCTCCTTTTCTCTCTTCTGATCTGCTGGCCTCTTGGAAGAGATTTCTCATTCAAAACCCTTCTAGAAATTGATTTTCATCGGCCGTCCTAGGGGGAGGTCCACGAGAGGGTATCCCGCCCCCCCCGCACCGTGGCGTTATCTTAGCACCCGGCCACGCGAAAAAAACAATCCAGTTCTATTCCTGCGGGTGTCCTAGGGATTCCTAAGGATTTATCTAGGATTCTTAAGGATTCCCTTACGATTCCTGCGCTTCCTAAGCTTTCTGTGGATTCCTCAGGATTCCAGAAGACTCCTTTAAATTCTTAAGGGCTCGTCACAAATTCCAGGGGATTCCTCATGAATTTGAAGATTCCTAAGGATTCCTACAGGGTCCTCAGGATTCCTGAGGAATTCTCCTCCTTCTTCCTCCTCCTCCTCTCCTTTGAGCCTGCTGAGACTCAGATTCTGCTTACAATCCAATATGATCCTTCTCCTCCTCCTCCTCTCCTCCTCCTCCTCTCCTCCTCCTCGTCTCCTCCTCCTCCTCAGGAGAAGGCCCAGAGGGGAAACCCCAGGTGACTTGGGCCCTGACAGGCCTTGGGCCCCGAGGGAAGGGGGGGGGCGCGGGAGGAGGAGGAGGAGGAGGAGGAGGAGGAGGAGGAGGAGGAGGAGGAGGAGGAGGAGGAGGGGGCAGGAGGAAGTTCGTGGGTGGAGGAGAGGAGGAGGATGAGGAGGAGGAGGAGGAGGAGCAGGGCTCCTGGTGCCAGGTAACGCTTCCAGGGTGCGGAAGGGTTATCGATTTGCCGGAAGGGGGGGGGTGTCTTAAATGCTTCCTGCGGTTATGTTTAGACATTCGTGCTTATCCTCGAAAAGTTTGTCAGATGGATCCCTGTCCTCCTCCCCTTTCCCCCCACCCTCCCCGTCCAATGGGGGGGGGAAGGGAGGAGGGGCCACGAGCTCAACGAGACCCTGCCTTGCCTCTCAGAGGCTCGCCGAACTGATCGCCTGCCCTCGAGATCCTCAGAATGGCTCGAGGTGACCGTCAGACCGACCACGATGGTCCAATCCAGAAGTCCCACGGGGGTCCGAGTCTGAAGCGCTGCTAACGTTGAATACGAGAACGGCGCCCATACACCGCACCATGCCTGGACTCCGTTCAGGCCCCGCTCCAACGCGGTACGGTGCATGGTTTGTTCGGCTCTGGGGGCCAGACAACTATGCACTGTACCATTCCTGGGTCGAGAATCGACGACGCCTCGAGAGGCGCCAACGCGGTACGGTGCATACATGCCGTCCGCGGATTGAAGACAAAGGTAGCCCCACGGCGGATTCGAGGCCCTCGAGGACCCCGCGGAAAACGGCGCACGTGGCACCCGGCACCCGCCGCCGTGCCCAGAGCACGCAGGTGGAGCGCCCTGCGGTCGAACCGTGGTCACAGGAGCGCGGGCAAAGCAGGAGAGACGAAAGTACCACTTCCGCCATCTAGGAGGAGGAGGAGGAGGAGGAGGAGGAGGAGGAGGAGGGAGGAGGAGGAGGAGGAGGAGGAGGAGGGGGAGAAAGAGGAGGAGGAGGAGGGGACGAGGAGGAGGAGGAGGAGAGGAGGAGGAGGAGGAGGAGGAGGGGAAGGGGAGAAATACGAGGAGGAGGAGGAGGAGGAGGAGGAGGAGGAGGAGGTGGAGGAGGAGGAGCAGACAACAGTGCCACTACCACGAGCTATGGGGGGTGGCCGCTCCCTCCCACCGAGCTGGTGGCACCTCCTTCCGAGCACCCTCTGGAGGCGTGCCTGGAACGAGGTGCCACCAGCTCGAGAGGGCGGGACAGCCACCCCTCTTAGCTCGTGGTAGTAGCACTTTTGTGTGCTCCTCCTCCTCCTCCTCCTCCTCCTCCTCCTCCTCCTCCTCCTCTCCTTATTCCTCCTCCCCTCCCCTCCTCCTCCTCCTCCTTTTCTCCTCTTCTCCTCCTCCTCCTCCTCCTCCTCCTCCTCCTCCTATTCCTCCCCCTTCCTCCTCCTCCTCCTCCTTCTCCTCTTTCTCCTCCTCCTCCTCCTCCTCCTCCTCCTCCTCCTGGCAGGAGCCCAGACGTGCGATGTCCGCATGTTGTCGGCACGTGGCCGCCAGAGATCCCGACGCTGTCCCCAGGCTAATGGTGTACCCATCGAACTTAAAGACCACATCCCAGAAATAATTGTGAGTAGCCAGGGAGGTATCGAAACGATGTCGAGCGAGTATCGCCTCCCAGGGCACGACACGTGGTGATCAAAAGTCTTGGTGCTCGAAAGCTTCTCGGTGCTCGACGGTCTGTCTGGTGACCAAGGCCAACCCCCTGAAGAGGACGGAAAATGTGAAATCACTCGATCATCGAAGTAGGATGGCGCTCAAAGTAGATTGGATTCGGGAAATCCCAAAATACCGACTTTCAACGACCGATGAATATCCTTCCAAAGCTGGGGATGGCTTCAGCCCTCGTGCCAACCTCAAGCCTCATGCAACGCGCACACGCTCCACGGCGTCCCCGGAGCACGCGGCGCGAACCTCCTGGATCGGAGCACGCGGCGCGAACCTCCTGGAAACGAGCACCTCTCAGCCAGGCTGAGGGGCAACGAGACTTTTCCTGAAGACGGTGCTGTTCCTCGCCGCCGACATCCCCCGTCCCGACAAAACCGCGGCTCCCACTCGAGACGTCTTCCTTCTTACTCAAGGCGGTGTTCCCCCTCGCCGCCGGCAACCGCCGTCCCAACAGAACCAGCGCTCCCGCTCGAGACTTCGTGCTCTTGCACGCTGGACTAGCGCCCTACTCTCTTCTGCATTGGCGCCGCTCTCAGCAACAGCAGTACCCCTGCTCGAGACTTCCTCCCTTTCTATTCAGGGCCAGGTCCTTGCCTCGCCGCCGACAGCCCCCGTCCCCACCAAGCCAAGCCTATCGGTCGATACTTCCTTGCGCTTTACCCTTGGCTGGGTTTCCACTGGAGGTCTCGCATCGGCGCAGCAGGGCGCGGGCATGTGTTTTCGAGGCGGGATCTGCTGAAATTCCTCGGAGGAGGTGCTTGCAAGACCTCATTTGGCGGGAGATCTGGGAATGGGACTAACGGACCCCCGCGATAGAACAACAATCCTCCATGATGGGGATGGTTAGCATGATGGTCGCATGCTGCGAGTGGAAGTGTCGTCCATGAGGGTATAATGATTGTTGTTGTTATTACTGTTGTTGTTATTGTTGTTGTGAGCAGTGTTGTTGTTTTTGTTGTTCTTGTGGTTGTTGTTTTTTGTTGTCGTCGTCCCACCCACGACCCACCCGCGACCCACCCCGCGACCCACCGCGCGACCCACTCGCGACCCACCCGCGACCTTACCCGCGACCCACCCGCGACCCACCCTGCGACCCACCCACGACCCACCCACGACCCACCCGCGACCCACCCGCGACCCACCCCGCGACCCATCCGCGACCCATCCGCAATCCACCCGCGACCCACCCGCGACCCACCCCGCGACCCATCCCGCGACCCACCCTCAAGGGCAGAAAAACTTCCAGGACCTGGCAATTAACGTTTACTAAACGGCCCTGGGCGTTTACTCAACAGCCCTGCCCTGTTCGATTCATTCCTTGTGTGCGTTTACTAAACGGCTTCGCTTGTAGGAATGATTATTATGGGGTGGATTTCTGCCCTCCACACCCGCGACTTACCCGCGACTTACCCGCGACCCACCCGCGACCCATTTGCGACCCACCCGCGACCTACCCATATTAGTTGAAGGAAAAAATCGGCGCCTGCGGCGGGCTCGTTGAATACTTTGTGAAACTTTGGCGCCTGCGGCGGGCTGCTCCAGAGTCTCGCAAACCCGCTCACTCTTATCCGCATCTGCGGGGTGCCACGTGTTCAAGAAAACAAAAATCAGACACAGCAGTCACAAAAGATCGCCCCCAGACTACTTGTTTCGGGCCGGGCGCAAGGGGGGGATAGCAAAGGGGGGGTTTGAGAACCAGCTCACGTAGCCGATTCTCCTTGCGCCTCCCGACGCCGGAGGCGGCCAATTATGTATCGAGGAAGGGGCCCCTCGCTGGGGCCGAAAACAGCTGCATGCAGCAGATTTCGTAACTCCCCCTTTTCCAATCCCCCCCTTTCGTCCGGCCCGATTGTTTGACTACTCCACTGTGGGAGCGCTGGGGCCGGGGGCCAGGGCCGACCCCGCGGCGTGCGAGGGCGAGTGGGGGGCGGAGGGCGCGGCGGCGGTGGCGGTCGGGAGGGGCTGCGCACGCAAGGAAAGGAGGGCGGCGGAGGAGGAGCAGGGGAGGGGGTGGTGGAAGGGGCCCTGGGACACACAAATCAACACACACACACAAATTGGAAACGACTCCACTCCGAAAGCTCCCCAGGCCCCCTCCCCGCGCGCTTCCCCCCTCGGCGACGCCTCCGGCGCCACGGTCGGAGGCCACCTCGGGCCGCCCCGCCGGCGCGGCCTGGCGTCGGGCGTGCCCTCCCCCTACAGGGGGATTTTCGACGAAGAATTAAAAAAACCACCCCAAAAATACTTCACAGAGGCAGAAACATACTCAGAAAATAGTCCCCGGACAATTTTCTGATCATGCTTGGGGTGCTCTTTATTTTTTTCGTCGAAGGTCCTTCTGTAAGGGGGGCAGGCCCGACCTGAGCGTGGCCCCATACCCCAGGCGCCCAACGTCTTGGAATAGAGTCATCGCGCCGGCCTTGGAGGCGCGCTGCAGCGGACACTTCTGCGTGGATTCTTGCCCGAAGCGGCGAGCGAAAAACCAGATGAATGTCGCGTGTATTCTTCTTGGTCTTCATCCCTGCCCCCCCCAAAAAAAACGGAACGAAATCCACCTCGAAATCTGGAACGAAATTGTGCAGGATACTCTGGACCCATCCTATCGTTTTCCGAACGAAATCCGCTCTGCGATGTTGGCGCCATGAGGAAGAGGTCTCTGGCCACGAGATGTCCTCAAGACGCTCTCCAAGATCGCTCCAGTGCGGAACCTGCACGCCCCAGACAGTCACGACTCGTCAAACCAGCCTCGAGACCCCCCGCACGCCACTTGCAAAGCCTCGGAATGGGTCCCAGCCTAGAATGGCCAGTCTCAGCTGGCATGCCGGGTACCCCAGAGATGGCTCCCAGACATCCCAAGATCGCCTCAACTTTCTGGCAACTTGCACTGACATCACTCTGCCGGAGGTCGGCGGCACGGCGCACGCCTCCAGCATATTTGCAGGGCACCGTTAATGGAAGCGGCACCCCCGGAGGCCCCAGCGTTTTGGCGCCGTCGTCGTAGGTCAGGTCGACCACGTAGGACGCGACATGCTCGGAAGCATCGTCCTCACACCGGCAACGTATCACTCCCTTGAGCATCACTCCACACAGCCCCTTGTAACAATCGCAAACCACCTCTGTCCCGCTGCGCAAGGAAGCCTTGCGTTCCGCTTCGGCCGCCTGTGCCCGAGCTGACATTGCATCAGTACGAATACCTAGCAGAAGCTGCCACGGGTGCTCCGTCTCGCCGCTCGTAGCCAACGCGACATGAGCTTCGCCATTCGGCACAAGTTCCAGTTTGTCAGGGACTCTGGGCTGCAGCCGCTTATCGATCGGCTTCGGAAGCGGCAGGTCCTCATCCGCACGGACACGTTCGACCCAATGGAACTCCTTGTAAGCTTTCTCCATGAAATCGATGTCCTCGTCTGTGTCTATGTCGCTGTAATCGTCCTCACAGTAATCGCAGATGCCTCCCAGGAAACTTCCGTTGCGAATGGTAGACGCAAAGCAATGCTTTGCTGGCATGTTCAGGCACGTGCCTGGCTCGCCCAACAACACGTCGGCCGGGACAGCTCTGGCCCTGCTTTTGGTCTTCCGTCGTGCCAGCTCCTCGCGAAGCATACTGCACCTCGCCGCGAACCTCCTCTTAGAGACGTCATTGGCTGCTGCGAGGGATGCCGCCGCCCTAATGTCCCCTGGGATATTGCGGTTCGAGGCCTGGATGGCGACCCAACAGGTGTCATCCTCGATCTCCTGATCCATACCCGTCTGCTCGACGACAAACCGAAAGTCATGCCCGTCAAGTACGGGCTCTGCGCCATCCACTACAGCGTGATCCTTGGACACGTCCGACTGAACATCAGCCTCAACATCGTCGCCACTGTCATCGCAGCCGCCCGAGGGTGTCTTGTTGCAGCGATCTCTGGTAGCCTGCGCCTGAAAACATCGGCGCAGATGCTCCCGCGACACCTCAACGAGGGTTGTTGTGCCCACAACGCCAGCTCGTAGTGTGGGCGCAGCTCGCTTCTCCCCGAATGCCTTTCGGCAACGAGTCCAGGGGAAGGTCAGAGGAAGACGGCCTTCTAGGAGGACGGCGGGACTTCTCGGAAGCTCTCGCGACATCTGACAAGCTCTCTGTGTCTGCGGGGGAAGGGTGGAGCAGCTTCTCAGAAGGCCCAGGGCCTTTCGAGCCTTCTGAGAAGGCCCGCCCCCTCTCACATCCCCCCTTGCCGCCGAGCCTTCTCCATGTGCATGTCGCTCTCGAGCTTCGGCAACCGCGGCTGGAGCGGCGCCCCAGGTAAACCCAGCCTCTCCCTGTGCTCGATATCGATGACATAGCGCACCGGGTCGGAGATGCTCCCCTCCTTCCGCTCCCGAACAGTGCCGCGCACGCCTTCCACTGACATCATATGGCCCGAACCCCCACCCAAGGGAATCTCGTACAGATCGGCCTCGACGCGACAGCCCGGGGCGAAGGCGTAGGGCGCCTCCGCCCGCGCCGCCGACGCCACGGCGGCCTCGGCCGAGCGGAAGACGCCCAGCAAGTCGGCGCCGGGTCTCTGGCGTGACCGGTGCCGCCTGAGTGCCAGGAAGACCTTCGCCGTGTAAGACGAAGCCAGGACGAGGACAAAGTCGGGTGAGGATAAATCGAGACTCTCTGAGATCCGCCAGATCTCAAGGATGTCTCGGGCGCCGCGACCTTCTCAGAGCGATCCGCGATGTTCTGGGAGCGTCCAGGACGCTCTGGAACGCATGTATTAGGAACATGGAGAAAGCGACACCAACACCACCAGGGCGAGGAGATGCCAGGAGGCAAGGGGGGTCTCCCCGGTGGGGGTCTCCCTGGTGGTGGCGTGGCCCCCCCCAACCTCCAGCTCGGGGAGGCATCATGAACCTCCTCGCTGGAGGTGGGCCCCCTGGTGGTGTTGCTATGGCTTCTCCTCCCTCCGAGTTTGTCCTCGTCCTGGCCCCGGCCGACTTGAGCAGGGACCAACCGTCCCGGCATTCCTTCAGTCCTACCAAGAAGCGTTCTTAGAACCCACAAGTGCTCTAAGAGCAGAGACGATGTTCTTAGACCGGGCAGCCGACGCATCAAAACAAGAAAGCCTCGGCCAGAAGCTCTCGGAGAACATCTCGTGCAGACCACGACAGGTTCTTTCGGGAGCGGCCAAGAGGGGGGTGTCCAAGAGGGGGGGGTGCAAATCATCATGACCGGCGGCTTGTGCGCGGCCCAGCGGGGGGGCCAGGAACGTAATGAAACAAGAAGGGGCGCCCTGAGATCTGGGGAGAGATCTCATGGCCCCCGTCATGATATCCACCCCCCCTAGTCATCACCCCCCTCTTTTCCGCCCACGAGAACCGAAAACGGACAATGCACCAATCGCCATGTCACTGTTGGGGGTTCTGCCCACCCCGACTCTTGCGGACCGGGGAGGAGGAGGAGGAGGAGGAGGAGGAGGAGGAGGAGGAGGAGGAGGAGGAGGAGGAGGAGGAGGAGGAGGAGGAGGAGGTACGCTCCCGATTCTTGGAACATTCTTTGGCGGGCCGCTGGGCGAGCCAGGACGCTTCGCCGCTGCCCGACCGACCGTGGGCTCCGGGGCAGCGCCCGCCCTCGCCGGGCGCCTCGCCGGCCGCTTCCGCGGCGCGGGCGGCGCGGCTGCCGCGGCAGGCCGCTTCCGGGGCCCCGCGGCTGCGGGCCGCTTCATGGCAGGCAGCTGGTGACGAAGCAACAACACACACCCATACCCATAGAGCGGTCGGAGAGGGCTATGAGTGCGCGTTGCCGGATGGGGGTCCCGCTCGAACGGGAGCGTTCCCCTGGGTCCGACAACCCGCACCCGTACCCATGGCCAGTCCTCCTCCCAACGACCCCCCTATGGGTATGGGTGTGTGTTGCTCGCTCGTCAGCTAGGGAGCCCACAAAAGGACGTACGTGCCCAGCTATGTACACGAGCACGGCCCCTCGATCTGCGAGGCCGGCCGCGTGATACGAGCTTTCGGGCAATGCGTACGCTCGAAACCAGCGTGGATTCCTGTACGTGGTACGTCCTTCTTTCGCTCCTGAAACGCGGCGCCCCCTGCTCGGGCTCGGGCAGTGGCGCCTACGGAGGGACCTCTGGAAGCCACTCTGCGGGGGCAACGGCGGGGGGGGCACAAGCACGGGGGGTGGGGAAGAGTCGACCTGGAATCGGCGATACCTCGCCAATCGATCGGCGACAAGCCCCCGATATTGGATCCGCTCGTTCCTGGGCCTATCCGGCCCCTACCGGCGATCAATGGGCGATTGGGGGTCGATGTATCCCCCCCTATGCCTATCCCCCCCTATCGTTGCCCCTGGTATTTGGGCCAACGAAGTCCCCTTGGGGCCTCTGGGGCCGTCTCTGGCTGATGTTCCAGTGCCGAACCCTTGGGCCTTCTTGGGCGTCTCCTGGGGCTTTCTCCTCGGAAGTCGCCAGGGAGGCTCGTGGTACTCGCCGGTCCTCCTGGGGCCTTGTGGGACCTCTTTCGGAACCCGGCGGCCTTCAAAAGGCTGACCACGAACCGAGACCAACGTAAGAACGTCTCCAGAGCTCAAATCACCTAACACGTACGTAAAGCAGCATTGAAGGGCGACAGACTTGTCCGACCTGTCCTAATGTGACAACGAGCACGGATACAAGAGAAGACCAGGCCATTACATGGCACTGTCCGGATCAAATTGCCCCATGCAACATTGCAGGGCGGTTAGTCCTGGCCGCCCTCCTCATGGTACAACGAGCACGGATCCAAGAAGAGACCAGGCCACTACCTGGCACTGTCTGGATCAAACTGCCCCAACCGCGTGGCCGATGCGCCTCTCGATGCATCACGGCGGACGTTTTGGTGCCCGTCCAGACCTCTACCGTCCGTGGCTGCATTTGCATCGCAAGACGCGTGCATTTGCATCGGAATACTGAAGAGGCCCTGAGACACATAAATAAATTCACACAAATGAAAAGGTTCCCCATATCTTCCCATATTTCCTCGGTTTTTGTCTTGCCGCCCAATTCCCATATTTTCGCATATTTTCCTGGGGATCGACGATTAATTGTGTCTGTGTGTTTTTGTCCCTCCTGAAAGACGCTGCAACACGTGACTGCAATTGCGGCTGTTGTAGCACGGCGCCGCTGACAACAGTCGGCGGCGGAGGCCCCGACCCACTCCCTGCTTGGGCCAGGCCGCGCCGCCCGCACTCGCCGCACGCCTGGGCACTCCGAGCTCCCCTGCAGAGGCCATCGTGGACTGTCTTCTGGGGCGTAACTCGGGGGCGCGCAAACATGGATTAGCGATCCATGGATCTGGCGCGCGGTCGCCAAATTCATGGATTGGGGGAGGTGCTCTCCCCAAAATGCGGCCGGTCGTCTCGATCGGGGGCAAACATTCGCGATTTCCACTGGAAAAAAGACCCGTCGCTAATCCACGCTCCCTTGATCCATGTTTGCGATCGCCTGAGTAGCAGGACCCCATGGGCAATCAGGCTCTTGTCGCCCTCGACGTAATTGGACCAGGGCGCGTCTCGGGCCTAGGGGGGACTCTCGGGGTCGCTTGGGAACCACCTGGAGGAGACTTTGGGCCGAGATGCATCCTGCGGCGTCATTGAATCGTCTTGGGGGCCTCTCATGCTTCTAGGTCCATTCAGGCAAGCGAAGCGGTGCTTCAGATGTGATGCGTCTCTGGTTTCTGGCATTACGATATATACATGCTCACCATCAAAACGTTTACCAAGCTGGCGATGATGAATTTGGTATCGCTGGCGCGCACGTGCGGGGCTCGCCCACACCATCCCTCGAAGATAATCAGTTAGACTAATTATCTCGCGGCCAAGCTCGGCTACTGGACCTTGTCATGATCTCCACCGTCAAGCACCACATTCACACCTGGACATGCGACGATGGTTATCCTGATCGGAGTCATAGTGGCCATGGCGCCTCCGGCATGCACATCGCTGACTCAGCACAGCAAAGGCCAATGGCAAACAACTACGACGGCATATATGCTGCAAGGCGCTACAAACGCAAATACTCCTATCATATCGCTCCAGACGGTTTCCATGCAGAAGCGTAGCCGACAAACAACTGAGATCCAGAACCGCTGAAAGACAACACCAACACAAAGCCTAGGTCAACATCAGCGGCGACCAAACTTTGCGCGACGCCGCATGCGCCCCAGGAGTAACTTTGTGTAATATCAAGATTATGGCATGGCCCCCTCCTCCAAATAATCCGCCGACCCCTGTTGCGTCTCTAGGCGTGTGAAATGATTCCCCCCTCATCATCCCTCCCCCCCAAGGACACCACACCGGGAATTTGACCCCCCCAGAGGGGGAGGACCCTGGGACGAAGGCGCCAAGGGGGGACAGTGGGCCCCACAACAGGCCAAAAGGGCCCCAAGAGGTCCTCAAGACGGTCCAGGAGAGCTGTGCTTCGACGAATGTCCCTCAGAGACGCCCAACATAGCTTCCAAACAGCCCAGTCTCCCCCAGACGCCCGAAGAGGCCTCCAAGAGGCTTTCCGAAATGGCTTCAAAACAAACATTGTCCCATTCCTTCGCATTTCAACTCTTGCGTTTCTTGGGCTATCACAACGTGCAGAACGGCGCAAGAGGCTCCCAAGCGCGCTTCAAAACTACACTAGAAAACCCCAATACGGCCCAAAAGGGCTCCCGGGACGGGCCCAAATGGGGGCCCAGAGGGGGAATCCGAGCGGACATCTCGAGCTCACGGCCCCAAGACGCCCCCAGGCTGCTGCAGCAAACCCCCAGAGGCCCCAAGACGCCCCCACGGAACCTCAACTGAGCTCCCGAGGGCCCCCCAAACTTCCCAGGAGGCCCTCAAGAACACCGAAAACTGATTCAAAAACGCTGCCGGATGGCCTCCCACGAGACCCCATCATCCATCCGAGTGCTCCCGACCCATAACCCACCCACGAAAGCGGGAGGGGCCGAAGGCCATTCCACAATCGCCCCTCTGGTGTTTGGACTGGCGCCCGCCGTCTGTGAACGTGGGTTTCCCCCCGCTTCCCCACGCGCACGCGGCGAGCACTGACGGTGCCAGCCGCAGGAATCACGAGGACCCCACGAAGCAGCCCTCAGAACTCCGACACTGCCCCGCGTCCCCCGGTGGCGTCCCCACCCCACGAGGCTTCAGAACCTGGCCCACAGCCGTGCCGGGATGGACCGGACGCCGTGTAAACGCTCACGGCTCGGGGGCCCGCGCCAAGTCTCCAAATGCAACGCGGAAGCATGCGTTCCGGGGATGCATCATCGCTTCGAAGTCCCATCCGCACCCCAACTGATACGCCGGAGGCCAGATCCTCACGTTGTGTTGTCCTCTTCCTCCTCCCCGTCCACCTCGGTCATCTGCCTCATCCCCGTCCTCCGTCTCCCCTCCGTCTCCCCTCCGTCTCCCCTCCTCCTCCTCCTCCGCCTCCTCCTCCTCCTCCTGCTCCTCCTCCTCCTCCTCCTCCTCCCCCCCCCTCCTCCTTTTCCTGCTTCCCGGTGTCATATTCTCACGAGTTTCGTCCTCCCTCTCGCTCTGTCCCCATCCTGGACCACCTTCCACGGCACTCGGAACGTGTAGCGCCGTTGCCGATTCGAACTCGCAACAGTCCATTGCATTGGTATCATTTCAACGCCCTGCATTTCAGACTCTCCCCGTCCTGGTCCTGCTTCGACGGACGTCGGCACGCGTGGCGCCATTGCTGTTTCGACTCCACACTAGGGCACCCGAATGGGCAGCACTCGCGTATTTTGCACTTCAAGTTGTTTCGTCGCGCGCGCCGTGGCCACTGGCCGCGGAGAGCGCCGATTATGGCAATGTCTTCTGGCACGCGCCGCTGCGCTGAAACGCCTGCGAACTGTGCGCCGTGAGCCCGAGGTTCCTGCGACCTGCGCGCGCTGCGCACGACTGCTTCGCCCCCCGGCGCTCTTCCACGGGCTCTTTAATAAAATCAGACTTCGTGTCCGAGAAAAGCTTCCCAGCGCGCCGCGCGCGCCAAATCTTGCTCGCGCCGCTTTGCCGCATCGGCGGTTTTCTTCGCGGCGCTGTCGTGTTTGCTACAGACCCCGCAGACTACCCTGGCTCTGTTCTTTTTCCGATGGCCCTCCACTTGGCCGATCTCCTTGGAAGTCACCAAGCACTATGGCGTGAAAGACGTGCGCGGCTCCGCGTCTGCCTCCGCTTTTCTTTTCCACTTGTTCATTTCGCGCGCGCACTTCTCGCGCCCCTCTGCGCATATCCGACAGAGCCTCTCCGCCCTACACTCCCGCGGCGCGACTTCTGCTGCGATGTGACATGGCAGCGCTTCGCGCAACGCGTGGCCCGAATCTTCTCCGGCCCTTCCGCGTCGACAGTGTCCGCGCCCCCCTGGTCGCCCCCGCGCGCCTGCGTTTGTCTTGCACATGTTGCGCCCTTTCTCGTTCTCCTCGCAAAAACGCTGGCCTCTTCTTCCTCTGGAATTCGCGGGCCTGCACTCAAGTAACATCGTGCACGCCTCTACGAGGAGCCTCCGCCAGAGCCGCTCGCACTCGTCTCGCGGTATCAGCTGCGCCGCCCAATCTTCCTGGCCCATGCCCCCCCCCCCCCCCCCTCGGTGAACCTCCAAAGATTTGTCGCCCCCGCCATCTCGCTCTCGTTGCGCGGCTTCCGGTCAAGAGGCCAGACAATCAACGGGATTTCCCGCGTAGCTGG